AAGTACAAGAATTACAAGATTGATGATCGTAGTTAGTCCAGATAGAAACCATGACGTGACGCATGTTTTTGGTTTAAATAGATCTAGAACGATCAATGAGACTCTTATCATCAGAGATTTCGCGGATAATGTAATTTTGAGGATGATAGAATGATTTATTCTGCCTTACTAATGCAAAGCGAAAGACCAGCAGTTCCTAACAGATCATCTTACATCTATTTCAGCAGCACTGACCTTAGCTCGCCGCCAAGGCCTCCTCGCTCCTCCTGCAACTGGGGTGAGAACTTTACAGCCCTCCATTGTATACAGCCCCTTGGTCTTCAACATCGATCTTTAATGGAGAAATAGACAAAGTTTCCAAGGAAGTCACTAAGGATTCCAGAGAAGTCCTGATGATTAAATCGATGGACACACTAGCCAGCTGCCATCCGACAGACCTCTCAAAGATACTCAGGAAGATCTAAATTCATCGGCCTACAGAGAGCAATGGTAGACAGGAAGATAGCCAGCTCTAGAGGAAAGATTCTTTTCGTCACCATTCGGCAACTATAGAGGAGGATCAGAAAGAGGCAGGACACCCAGAGGTTCCCGCAACTATAAACGCTGAAAGACAGGTTCGAACGACTGAGTCTTCCACCCCCAGCCGCTCCAGTACAACCATCTCAAGTGGGTGGACGCTTCCAACTTTACTGGGAAAACTGGGGAATGTTACAAGACCCCTTATGTCTCCAAACATTCTTTCGGCCACGGATTTCGTGATCCCACTAAAGGCCAAGCCTCCGCTGACAGTCAACCCCTCACAAGTCTCGACTTACAGGCACAACAACTAACGGGTTAAGAGAGGCTGTTACATCACTCTTAATAAAGCAGGCCATAGAAGTACTAGACCAAGACAACATAGAACCAGGTGTCTACTCCCCCAGTTTTCCTAGTTCCCAAGAAAAAACTCCAAGGAGAAATACAGACTCATCTACAACATGAGCTTTTTTCAACAAGAACTATCTACGCAAACCCCTCGGTTCCGCAAGATGATACATTTTACCTCAGTTACTTGCAGTTGATTCAGATTCCCATGGACTACATGGGCAGTATCGATCTACTACAGGACGCTTTACCTGCACATCCGATACACTCTAAAGCCAGGAAATACCCACGGTTTACTTTAGGACGGGCAACATTACCAGTGGAAAGTGCTCCCATTCGGAATATCATCAGCCCCTGGCTTTTCAATGCAGGATAACTCGAAACCGATTATCACCTATCTTCATCATCAAAGGGCTCGCGAGTACGCTTTACCCTCGACGACGGGATACAAGTAGATCAAGATCCACAGCATCTCAAACTACAGTTAAACTACATCATAAAGCTACTAACACAGCTAGGATGGTTAGTAAACTTACTCAAGTCGGACCTAGTACCGCCACAAGACCTACAGTTCCTAGGCATTCGATTTATCACAAAATCTCAACCGTGATCGTCGTGACCAGAAGACCGTTGGATCAAGATCCAACAGACCATTCCACCAGCCTCACGCCTCCGCTACCACTTCGACAATGGCAGAGCCTCCTAGGTCTCTCACATCAGCCCAAGACATGACAGTCAGAGGCAGGTTACAGTTACTGCCCCTTACAGGTCTTCATCAATGCACATCTCGACGATTTACAGCCATTCAGTCTACCAAACATCTCAGACCTCATCTACTATGGTGGACAAAGAAATCGAATGTCATGAAGGGATTTGTTTAGCAGAGCAGGAATTCAAAACCCATCTATATGTGGATCGCCACTACTCAAGGTTGGGGAGCTCATCTCGCCAACCAGACGACCTACATCGGGATTATGGAACCAACAAGAAAGCAAACTCCATATAAACATCCTAGAGATGAAAGCTGTAATCAACGCCATTCTACATTGGAGCACATTTCTACAAAATGCGACCTTATGATTCATACCGACAATTCCACAGTGGCGCTTCTATCGAAACAAGCAAGGCTCAACGAGATCACTGAACCTTTTGAACTTAAGCTTTCAACTATTCGATCTAACCCACGATCTAAATCTACAGATCAGAGCAGTTCACATTCCCGAGCCAAAATGTACTAGCAGACGCTGCCGGCCTCATCTACCATCACCGACAGAGTGGATGCTCAATAACGGAAATATTTGTACACAGTTAATCGCCGCTAGCAGCTAGCTAATAGATCTATTCGCCACAAGATTCAACAATCAGCTACTGACACATTCGTGGTCACCAATCCCAGATCCACAAGCTTTGGGAAACGGACGCTGCCTAAGTATATCATGGAAGGCCTCAACGCTGCACGCTTCCTCATACGCCAGCAATAATACCTCAAGGATTACAGAAAATCAAACAAACACAGAATCTACAACTCACTTTGGTCGCGCACTACTGGCCAGCCAGAGTATGGTTTCCCATGCTAATTCAAGAAATCGGGTCAACCAGTATTAGAGCTACCCAAGCGGCCAAACCTGTTAATACATCCACACACAAAACAAGTGCATCGGAAACCCAGAAGTTTACCAACTTCAATGCATGGACTGTATACAAATGTGTTTTAAACAAGAGAGGATATTCTGCCAGGGCGGCAAAAGCGGTCACGCTTTGCCTTTACTTCACACTCGACTCGTAATTTGTACGACTAACAAGTGGCACAGTTTCAAAATTATGCAGCTAATAAAGGATTTACAGCGCAGAGATGCTTAACATCCTCAAGTGGCAGACTATTTGTGTTACCTCCAAGCGCAAAACAAACATTTAAGAGGTTCGACGATATCAACATATCTGTCACTACTTTAGCTCTGTGATCACTATGAGAACGGGTGTCAAGCTGACAAAATCTCCAGAGTTACTGGCCTTACTACGGCTTTCCGATTGGAGGACCAAAGCGAAGTTCCACTTCCAGCTTGGGATCTGAATGTAGTGTTACAACACCTCACTAGTGAGGCTCTATGAACCTTTGGAATCGCACAAACTTTGAATTTCCTCTCACAGAAAACACTATTTCTGCTATCTCTAGCCACGCAGCAAGAATATCTGAAATTCACTGGATTACGAGAGGATACAGTTTGATGACAATCAAAACATAGCATCTGGGATTAAGATGGGATTTCATCGCAAAAATCAACTACCAGGTCAACCAGACAGGTTATTCCATGTACCAGCTTATCTTCGATTCTCGGATCACAAGATACACAAGACTTATCACTGTGTCCAGTCAGAGCTCTCAAAGTTTACTTTATACGATCCAAAACAAGGCTAAGATTTCTCAAAAGATTATTCATCCCCTTTATCGCCAACTAATCAAAACAGAAGTCTCAAGCTACCATCACCATATCTATTTGGATAAGGACTGTCATCTCTCATGCCTACAAGGCAGCAGCAGGCTTGGACCCACCAACAGCATCAACCGCATGAGATTAGGGCACTGGCAACCACCCTCACCCTGCACGGTAACTGTTCATTGAACACAATTATGGAAGGATGCTTTTGGAAATCGAACATGGTGTTTTATGACCACTACCTGAGAGACATCACCACAGAAGATGTCTCTGGCATTCACCATTTCGCCCTTTGGTCCTCGCCAACAGCTGACAGTCCCTCAGAGGGGCTAAAATATTACCATCACAAGTTTAATATGTATTATATACATAATTTAGCTAGCTTATAACTCTAAGGAGTTCTAGAGCTATGTATATATATTTAGCTTAGGTCATTCACCCCTGAGTATATATGGATATTATCTTTAGTTGTACAGCTTTAATTCTATCAGAGTCACTTATATATATATATATAATATATGTAATGGTTTTTCAATATATATCAATGTAATACCCAATTATGGCATTATATAACCTATGGTTTATATACAGGAAATATCCTAAGTCAATGCCTTCATGAAGTTCCCATACCAGTTATTACAGTTATATTTATACAAAATCACTAATTATAAATCCAAAGTATTCTATTACTCCCTCCTCCTGTCTGTGAGGATTCTATTGTTAAAGAGCATGAGTCAGGATAAGGAAAATATGTAATTTTTAGAGTAAAATTGATATTTTATACTTATCCTGACTCATGAGGTCAGTCCTCCCATCCTCCCCACATAACACTTTGGATTTCCTGTAAATTCAAGTGTTGGGCTCAAGAAAATCAGGAGAGAGTGAAGCACGAGGTGTAAGGTGGCTACACCTTTCCGCCAAAAGGGATTAAAGGGGAGCAACTCGTGGTGAGTACTAATTAGTGATTTTACATTGAAGGAGCTTCAATTAAGGAGATACAAGTGTTTCCACTATGTTCGCAAGAAGAAGAAGACAAGCAAAAGAGCATGAGTCAGGATAAGCATAAAATATCAATTTTACTCTAAAAATTACATGTTTATCACCTGTATGTACCTGTCACATCACACCTGTATGGTACATACTTGTCACATCACACCTGCAGATAACTGACACTTTACATCCCCAGCAGCCACTGGACACATCACACCTGTATGTACCTGTCACATCACACCTGTATGTACCTGTCACATCACACCTGTATGTACCTGTCACATCACACCTGTATGTACCTGTCACATCACACCTGCAGATACCTGACACTTGGCTCGTCCCGAAGACCCGGTTCGATTCCCCACATGGGATAACATCACACCTGTATGTACCTGTCTCATCACACCTGTATGTACCTGTCACATCACACCTGTATGCACCTGTCACATCACACCTGCAGATACCTGACACTTTACCCGGGCAGCTACAGGATACATCACACCTGTATGTACCTGTCACATCACACCTGTATGTACCTGCCACATGACACCTGTATGTACCTGTCACATCACACCTGTATGTACCTGTAACACCACACCTGTATTTATCTGTCACATTATACCTGTACATACCTCACACATCACACCTATGTTGTGTCGTTTTTTTACTTTCTCTATGTATTTGATCATGTCACTCCCTCACTTGTTTCAGATGCTGGACCTCATCACTGACATCTTCAAGAACAAGGGCAACCAGGAGCTTGACATCCCTCCCCCTGTTTCTGAGTGTCCCCCCATGCCAAAAGTTACACAGTGAGACACATTTACTGTCAGATATTCTCAACATCCTTTGCCTTATCAACAATATCCTGGCCAATTCGACAACTAATTGTGCCGCTGTCATATTGCTTGAAACTATTGACTTGACATTTTTCATGAACTTTCAAGAAAATATTCTTCAGCAGTACCTGTTTTGGAAATATTCTTCTTGCACTGTTGGATGACAGTGAATCAGTATCTAAAGTACTGGACCACATGTGGTCCTGTGCACAGAGCTCAGGTCACAAATCAGTTGAAGTTAAGCATCGTCGAGCACAGAGAGTCCTTGGATGGGTGACCGTGTTTGGCAGCTTGACTCCTGAGAGTTTCTAGGACTTCAGTCCTGCCCCACAATAAAGCACATGTGATACATGTGGTCTCACCTTAGGCAAGTGAGTTTGTTCAAAATTGCCACTGTTCACCCAGCAGAAAAATGGGTACCCGGGTGGGATAAGTCATGTGACCATAACCTTCTAGCGCCTAACAGGCAGCTTGCGTGCTGTGCTGTGCTATTGACTGTTAGCGCTATGACTCATACCTAGTGTGGAGTTTGGCGCTATATAAATGGCGACATTACATTAAGAATCTGAGATGATGCATCATTTCTTTCTCCATGGTAAGTCAAAGTATGAGTAGGTCTCCAGCAATCAATGGTAGTTGTTTTGAGGTAACTAAAATAAAGTGTTCAGGCTTGATGATTATGGGTCATCGTGCTCAGCTGGTCAGTGATGTTGCTCTTCAGTCACAGCAAACAACCATGTAATCAGCATTGCATTCAGACAGTTATAGCACTAACATCATTGTATGGCATAAGGGCCAGGAGAACCAATCTAATGGTGCTTCCAGATGTTTGCGGTCACTCATTGGACATTGGCCGAAGTACTAGAGTAATGTAAATTAGTTACCAACTAATGACATAAATAGTACGTTATGTTCAATATATACCAGTAATTTTTGGGTTGTTTGCAGAAATATGACACCCCAGGAAAAGTCGAAGCATTACATGGAGAGATTGAAGATTAGACAGCAGAGGAGTGACGCTCATGGACTGTGGTGTACAGAGTTGTACAAACTGTCTATATCCAACCATGTAAGTGTACTCTCACGGACTGTGGTGTACAGAGTTGTACAAGCTGTCTATATCCAACCATGTAAGTGTATTCTCATGGACTGTGGAGTTCTCCTGTACTTCTTGATTGTTATGGCTGATTAACGTCAGGATTTGAACTCATGACACGTTTTTTATGGATAACAACTTCTTTTTGTTCTTTTTCACGACATTTGAGAGCTAATTCTTGCTCCTTCATCAGGTGAATAATACAGAAGCAAGGATTGACTCTGAAACATTGTGATAGAGGATAAAAATAAGTTGATGTCCATTAAAATGTGTCATGTATTCATGTTCATCCAACTTCCAAATGCCTTTCAAGAACAACAGTAGTGTGTGTTTTTAGGTCCTGTGGCTGATCTTTGCTGCTGCTTTCAGTCACTGTTTCTACAGTGTTAAACAACCTTGTCTTGTACAGTTGTGTTTCTCTTTCAGTTTCGAGATGAGATCTTTTGGTTACCTCACAACATCGACTTCCGTGGTCGGACGTACCCCTGTCCGCCACACCTGAACCATCTAGGTGAGTTGAACTACAACCTTCTGTGGAATTTAGGTGGCACAAAGTGGATTGTACATGGCAAACATCTAGTTAAACTACACAATCCATCACAGTGATCAAGACAACTGCCACAAACATGTTTACTCTGAGTGCCAATCAGTGCAGAATGAGCCATTTATGGCAAACAAGTTTGTTATTGTTTGCAACAATGTAACATGGCTACTTCTTGGCCCAACATCAACAGAGGAAAGACTTCTTTCAGATTATTTATTTTGTGAAATACGTAATACAACCCTTTCCAATTGTGACCGAAAGTTGTATGTAAATATATCAAAGGTACCATATCCGTTGAAACAGATTTGATGTCTGCACATGGGACAATGCAATCATTGTGAACAGCAAATAAATATTCAGATTGAAGTAGTTTTTCAGTAACGTTTTCCAGTACCAGTAGATATTTTATTGACATTTGCTTTTTTCTGAATGTGCTGATATTTCAAAACGTAATAGTAGCTATGTTCAATTTGTTGAGTGAACTGTGTCAGATATTACAATTATCACAAAGTGCTGGTCTGTTGCAAACAACTCTGGGTAAGAGAGTGTCAGAAACAATGATGCTTAAAGATGCTTGGAAAGTTACCATTCTCAGTTCATACAGTGGGTTGGTATGGCACAAGTGCCACTGTTTCAATGAAAACGTCCTGTGTTTCACAAAGCTCTCATAAGCCTTTGATCTAGTAACTTTTCTCGTAGCACTTGTACCCCCAGTATTGTAACATAGGAGGTGAGGTGAAAGTGGGTATATCGTCGTGCTTGAGAATATTTCACTCATATGACGACGTGCATGCGTGTGTGCGGCATGTGTATGTGCGGCTGCTTGTACTAGCCCAGACTGAAGCTGATTTATAGTGCTAGCCAACTTAGATACCATGCCGCAGTGAAGCATGAATACCCCACTCAGACACATTATACTGATTCCGAGCCGACCAGTCCTTGTTGTACCCATTAATGCCGAGCACCAGGCAGGGACCAACAAGTACCATATTTTAACGTCTTTAGGTATGACGCGGTCGGGGATCGAACCCGCGACCTTCCGCTCTCCGGGCGGACGCTCTAACCACTACACCACGGAGGCGGTTTGTAACATAGGAAGTATGAATGCTGAGAGAAGGGTTACGAGATCATAGGCTTACGAGAGCTTTGTGAAACGGGACCCTGATTATCATAAGCTAATGTTAAAGAGTAGCAGTTATGATTGTCTTAGTGCTAAGATTGCTTTGTGGAATTTAGGGCCAGGCTAGCATTACACACTGGGATTATAATGGAGTCTATTCAGTATCCCTCCATGATGTTGATGGACTGACTGACTGACTGAGTTTGGCTTTACGCCGCTTTTAGCAATATTCCAGCAACAACATGGCGGGGGACACCAGAAATGGGCTTCACACATTGTACCCATGTGGGGATTCGAACCCGGGTCTTCGACGTGGCGAGCCAACGCTTTAACCACTAGGCTACCCCACCTAATGTTGATGGAATATTTTTTAAATGGCACAAACTATTCTCATCTGTGATGCTATTCCTTGAGAGTATTGTAATGCTCTGTTTCAGGGAGTGATGTAGCACGGAGTATTCTGATGTTTGCTAAGGGTAAACCGCTGGGTGATCACGGGTTGGACTGGCTAAAGATTCACCTCATCAACCTGACTGGCTTCAAAAAGAGGTACAAATTATCAGCAGTTCATGTTGTCATGGTATTTTGTAAGCAGCTGTGATGATTGGCTTGTTACACTTAGATGTCGATAGAGATACATGATAGAAACTGGGTGACATCAGTGTAGATTTGTCAATTTATTTCCATCCAGACCATTTGTCAGGTGGACTCTTATAATAATGGCATTTAAATGTACTGAAAAAGATTACTTATAAAGTAGTATTACTCCTCATGTTTAAAAAAAATGAATGATAAAAGCTGCTTAAGATTCCTAAATGTTAGGCATTGGTGTTGATAAGTCCTTAAATGAAGACTGACATTTGCTGCATTTGACACTGGCCAAATATCATTCCCAAGTAGGTCTAGAGAAATCCCTCTTTATGCTTTCTTCCAGATCCTCAAACAAAGACCGATTGCGTATGCCAATGACATTATGCCAGAGATTTTAGACTCAGCGGATAATCCGATGACGGTAGGTTTACAACATATAAGTTATGATGTTGGTTATCAGTGTAATGTGTCAGTGAGTGAGTTGTGGTCCTGCTTTAAACAGTGTGTCAGTTATCACAGTGTGTGTCAGTTATCACAGTGTGAGTCAGTTATCACGTTGTGTGTCAACTCGTAAAGGGATGGAAGCCAAGTATGGCTGCAAACATGATTGGTACAATGTACATGATTAAATAGTGGTAAGGTTCTAGCTCAGCAGGGATCTTTATCATGTAAAAGAGGAATTAGACCCTGTAGAGTGACCATTAGGTTGTTATCCCCCGCAACGCGTTTTGCGGGGGGTATTAAAATGGACTCCGTCCGTGCGTGCGTGCGTGCGTGCGTGCGTGCGTGCGTGCGTCCGTCCGTGCACATTTGTCTTTTCCGGAGCAGAACTCTAAAACCATTCAATATTTATTCACCAAACTTAGCACATAGATAGATCTGGTGGTGTACTGGTGCCTTTTGGTAGTTTTGGAATTCTGAATTAAATATTTTTGGCGTTTCTGTGGCAACAAGTTTGACTTAGCCTGAAATTGGTGGTAGTGCTCTTTTCCGGAGCAGAACTCTAAAACCGTTCACTATTTCTTTACCAAACTTGGCACATAGATTGGTCTTGTGCTGTACTGGTGCCTTTTGGTAGTTTTGGAATTCTGAATAAAATATTTTTGGCGTTTCCGTGGCAACAAGTTTTGACTTAGCCTGAAATTGGTGGTAGTACACTTTTCCGCGGAGCAGAACTCTAAAACCGTTCAGTGTTTCTTCACCAAACTTGGCACATAGATAGATCTGGTGATGTACTGGTGCCTTTTGGTAGTTTTGGATTTCTGGATATAATATTTTTGGCATCAGGGGTGGAAATAACTTTAAAATTGCTAGTGTACTCCGGTACAGTGGCACATGTAAATCACTTGCCCTGATCATTTTTCCACTATACCGGCCGTTTTCTTGTTGATTTTTTAAATAAACAACATTATTAACATTGGAAAGTCAACTGGACACCAGTACAGCGTGATATACAAATTTGCTTGCCCGACAGAAAAAAACACTGGACTCAGACGTCATGCAATGGGTTATTTCCATCCCTGGGCATTTCCATGGCAACAAGTTTGACTTAGATTGAAATTAGTGGTTGTGCTCTTCTCCCTTGTAGAACTCTAAAACCGTTCACTATTTCTTCACCAAACTTGTCTGGTGGTGTACTGGTGCCTTTTGGTAGTTTTGGATTTCTGAATGAAATATTTTTGGCGTTTCCATGGCAACAGGTTTGACTTAGACTGAAACTGGTGGTAGTGCTGATTTCTGGAGCAGAACTTTTAAAACCTTTTAATACTCTCCTTCCCCTTTTCTATATACACACCAAAACATTTGACATAATCATAACTCGTAGACATATTCATGAAGAGTATTTTGCCATTGCGGGGGATATCGATGACTTTGTCTTCTTGTTGTTACTATTGCGTGGCGGGAGCTTGCAGTGGGGGGCGGCCCCTGCTGGGCCTGGGGGTCCTGCTCAGCCTTATTGTTATCACTACAGTGGGGTAGCCTAGTGGTTAAAGCATTCACTCATCACACCTAAGACCCAGGTTTGACTCCCCATATGGGTACAGCGTGTGAAGCCCATTTTCTGGTGTCCCCTGCTGTGATATTGATGGAATATTGCTAACAGCAGCGTAAGACTCAACTCACTGTGTGTGGGACGGTGCTTCTAGTTCTAATGGACAGGTGCTTGTCAGACGGGTGATGGAACATACTGATACATTCATTTTATTTAAATATTAGGTATTAATGGGGTTGATGTTATTTGGGTACATATTTGCCTTTTTGGCAGTAGATGGAGTAATGGACTGTTCATATGGTAAGAACTGCCACTGCACTTTGGATAAAAAGTGTACACAAAAGTTCAAACATTGTTTAATTGTAAATTAAAAGACATCATATAAATCTCTGGACTTTCTGCAATCAATTACATATCCAGGCCATCATCATATAGCAGGAATGTTCTTGAATTGTGTTAAAGTACAGTAACCAGCAGGAGTAAGAATGTGTCTGTACTTGATGTTCCATTAGCATATTTGAGAAGCAGACAATCCTGAGATTGACTCCATGATTGCTGTTCTACGCAAGATGTAATACGATGACGTGTCAACCAGAGGTGTGTTCAGAACCGCAAGTGCCCGCGAACGCTGCGAGCGCTCTGTCTTGAACGCCTTTGCCATCCTCACAGCTGCCTCGCCAAGCGAACCAAGATGGCGACCATGTTTAATGTCATTTGTCACCACTCGCCCCTTTCCGTAACCTCCAACAAGAAGACAAGAAGCTATTTGGCTTGTCCCGGAATAACACGAGTTGGTCACGAATGGTTTAATGTAACCAAGCGCTCGCGTCCGTTCAGGGCCGATGCGAGCACTCACGGGAGGCAATAGTGCGGGCGCTCCCAGGTTCTGAACACACCTGATCCTAGTTGTCACCTGTTAGTCGTCTCTTAGAACAAACGTGTTGCTGAAGACCACATCTTCATGTGTATTAGGCTTAAGGTTATGTCATGCATCAAAGCCTTGACCAACCAGCTCAGAGAGTATTATCACGAACTTGTGTGGAAGAAATAAGAATTATTTTAGATGTTTGAGTGAAATCCATAATGACTGTCTGGGGTTATATTTTGTGCAGTGTTTGTTTTCATAGCTCTGTGTACACTGTTGTGTAGGGAAACAAGTGGTGGCAGGGATCAGACGAGCCCTGGCAGACACTGGCATGCTGCAAGGAGATCGCTAACATCGTCCGTTCACCTGACCCCTCTCAGTACATCTGCCACTTGCCAGTGCATCAGGTAAGGGAGACAACTCTCATCACCATAACAGTGTTCATTTCAGAAATTTGGAAAGTGGTCAAATGACCCCTGCCAGTCCAAAGTTGGGGGACATTTGGCAAAACCACTGGACAGACCTGTTGTCCTGACCCTCTCATTGCCCACGCACCTATTATGTGTACAATGAGATGCCAAAGTTGTTTTTTTTCTCTTTTCTTTGTGTTTCGTTTTATATTTTCTATGTTAAGCAGTTTTTGCTCGCAAGCTATGCTCATAGAAAAAGCTGTCACAACCAGCAATTTGAGAAAAATATGAGGAAATTAAATTTGATGGTAATATAGGTGTTTGATTGGTAGTACCCAACACATCTCTACAAGGTATTGATTGCCATGTACGCCCGGGACAAGTCAGTTTTCATTTCGGACAATTCAAATTTTACTAGTGCGTGGGCTAGTAGATAAATTCTGCTTATGGTTTCAAACTGCAAATACACTTGGATTTCATGTCTGCTCAAAATGTAGCTATTAAAATTTGACACGATATGAGAACGAATCAAAGTAATTTTCGCAATGATAATAAACTAGTGTTATCTTTCTTTGCTACTTATCACTTCTCAATAAATAGTCTAGTAAACATTAACATCAAATACGATGTTGATTTATTCTTTCATAATTACATCATCAGGATTATGTCATTAAATCAGGGCAAGTGGAAAATTAGTCAGGACAAGTCACTTTGTTAAAGTCACTTGCCACAGGGCAAGTGGCTTTTAAAAATATTTTTGAACCCCTGTTAGCTAATCCAGTGCCACCAAATGTCAGTGTATTTATTTCAGGATGGTTCTTGTAACGGACTGCAGCATTATGCTGCATTGGGGCCGGACCAGTCGGGGGCGGAGTCTGTCAACCTGTGTCCCTTTGATGAACCCCAAGATGTGTACAGCGATGTGGCGGAGCTGGTAGGGACTGTGATGATAAGAGCGATAAACAATCTGATTTGTGGGAACAGTTTGGTATTTGATGACTTGAACATGATCCTTGATATCAAATATTCAGTGTAATACCTGAAATATCTGGATGTCAGCAAATCTGAAAATACATATTGGTGAATGTTGATTGATGTAGTTACAGATTTATTGTAGTCTATATGTGCACATTTGTTAAATTTATAGTGTATATGTAGTGTATATGTGCATGTATATGTTAAATTTATAGGTAGAGACACATTTCTCTTAAGTGGATGTTTTTTGTGTAGCGGATATGTTAATGTAGGGCATGAAGTTGATCTAGATTATGATTATAATGTAGGAAATGTGATGTAGTAATGCTGATGATGCTGTGAAGGTCCGGGTTAGAATTGGTCTTCAGTAACCCATTCTTGTCGTAGGAGGCGATTAACGGGATTGAGTGGTCAAACTCACTGGTTTAGTTGACACATTTCATCAGTTAAACAACAAACAAACCACAAATAAAAAAATCAAATCAGTAAGTGATGTAGGTTGGTGATCTTGCTGATATAGTTCATGTTGAAGATGTAGGTAGTATGTCGTGGTACATGTTGCAGGTGGAGCAGGTGAGGCAGCGGGATGCTGAGGAAGGACATGAAATAGCCAAGTTGCTGGATGGATTCGTCAGACGAAAGGTAATAAGATGTAGGATCAGTCAGTGTAATAGCAGTGAGCAACATCCTTGTCTTCTTGACTGGATGTACATTGTAACATGGTGTGCTGGCAGGTGCCCCTTCAGTATTTGGAATGTACTTGCTCTCAAACTCTCTGTTACCTTTCTGGCAACATTATTAATTAATACAACTGAGTTCTTCTAGGGTGATTAACAACCATTATACCCAGCGGGGTAGGATGTCAGTGATAATATCAACCACTGAATAAACCAACCAATCAAATAACAAACACTAAGAAAAATTTCACCTGTGGATTATAAGACTCATGTTTTTGTAAGTATAATCATTTTACATAGATTTTATTAGATTATTGACAATACTTTCTCATGTTTGTTTGTCGCGCTACAAAATTCTGAAGCAGTAATAGTTCATGTTACATTTCTAAGTCTGTAGTGTGTTGTCAGCTGGTGTGAATTGAAACAGTCACCTAAAACATTATTACATGAGCATGTAAAATTTGTCTGACATGTGGCTATACGTGTCTGTCATGTAAAGTGTTGTCCATGCTGCAGGTCATCAAGCAGACTGTGATGACCACAGTGTATGGTGTCACAAAGTATGGCGCCAAGTACCAGATCCAGCGTAAACTGAAAGATATCCCAGAATTCCCCCAGGAGGAAGTGTGGAGAGCCAGCACCTACCTCACTGAAAAGACCTTCCAGTGTCTCAGGGAGAAATTCACTGCAACAAGAGAGATTCAGGTGAATACTTTTATGGTGCCTGTCAATTCAGGAATTACTCATGTTTCCGTATATTTGCTCTGTAGATGCATACTTTTATAAGATATGTTACAGATTCTCATAAAAATAAGGGCGGTGGGGTAGCCTAATGGTTTAAGCGTTGACTCGTCACGCCGAAGACCCGGGTTCGAATCCCCACATGGGCACAATGTGTGAAGCCCATTTCTAGTGTCCCCCGCCGTGATGTTGCTGGAATATTGCTAAAAGCGGCGTAAAACCAAACTCAGTCAGTCAGTCAGTCATAAAAATAACTGTTAAAATTCTGATGGACATCACTGTTTGAAATGTGAACTGGACATTTTATGTCATCTGTGTTCCAGGACTGGCTGACTCTGAGTGCCCAGCTCATTTCCACGATTCGCCACAAGCCAGTGGAATGGATAACACCCCTCGGTTTGTTGGTTGTGCAGCCCTACCACAAACAGCTGACCTTCAGCAGACTCGGCATGAACATCATCGACTCCTGCATCAATGAAAAGTAGGAACAGCTTGACACCAGTCCTTTCTTTTGGGGTGTCGGGGGTGGGGGGTGGGGGGGGGGTGGTTATGGGGGTGTTAGTGGGTGTGTGGGGTGTTGGTGTATCTGTGGGTGTTGGTGGGTGTGTGTTGGTGGGGGTGGGGTGTGGGTTGTGGGGGTGTTGCTGGGTGTTGGATGTGGGGTGTGGGTGTGTGTTTGTGTGGATGTGTGTGTGTGTGAGGATGTGGGGGTGTTGGTGGGTGTGGTTGTGGGGGTGTTGCTGGGTGTGGGGTGTGTGTGTGTGTAGATGTGTGGGTGTTGGTGGGTGTGGGGTGTGTGTGGATGTGTTGGTGGGTGGGGGTGTGGGGTGTGGATGTGTGAGTGTTGGTGGGTGTGAGTGTGGGAGAGGAGTGATGCAGTGATAGCTTCTAATAATTCCATCAGCCCTGTGGAGATCTGGGTTGCGACTGGTCTACAGGAAGCCATACTTGTTTTAAGAGGCGACTAATGTGATCATATGGTCAAACTCCCAAGTTCAGTTGATCAATGTCATAATTTCCATATTGTGTTGATGCTATTGATGTCAACCATTGGATTGTATGATGCAGACTCGGATATTTACAAACATCTGGAATAAAACAATCAGAGATTCAGTTCCCAGATTATACAAGCCTATGATTCTTGTCACATACCAATCTCCATGGGCTGAACCAATGTTGTAAATGTCTATGATCTGAATCGCTGGAAGATTTCTTCCTATATACAACTGTATAGGACAAGTTTTTATGGATAACAACTGTTTTATTTCATGAGTGCGACATTTCGATACAGATTCTTGTATCATTGTCAAGCAGGAGTACTGTTGTCCTGCTTGACAACGGTACAAGAATCTGTATCGAAACGTCACACTCATGAAATAAAGAAATTGTTATCCATAAAAACTTGTACTCTATTGTACGTCACAACTTCTAAAATGCCACTCAAACAAGCTATATACAACTGGCATGACACAATAGAGCTGAAATATATATCAAAAAGGGCACTAAGTCCATCTCTTTTCTCATAACTAGGAAATGTATCTCTGAGCCAAGCATACCCTGTGTGTCTCAAGTAGTGGTTTCCCAATTAATTGAAATCATCAAAGATTGGTCGTAGTAACCAAACGAACACAAATGATTTTGTAACTACTTTTTTAGTTTTTGAAACTCTTGATGATGGAAATGTCGGTGGTGTAGCCTAGTGTTTAAAGCCTTGGCTCGTCACACTGATGACCCGGGATTGATACCCCACATGGGTACAATGTGTGATGCCCAGAATATTGCTAAAAGTGGCGTAAAACCATCCCTCACTTACTTGACGATGGAACATATCTTAGAAGTTGTCAGGGCCTTAAAACATGTTTAATTCTTAGAAAATATACTTCACTTGCTGAAAAATCATGACTGAACATTTTTTTGAAGACTCCAGGGCTCCAGTTGAGACCAACTCTATAGTTTATCATAGACATGCGAATGTCGTAGCGCTACGAACGCTTGTATTGGAACACAAGGTTCCAGACGTTTGCATATATATTTCAAAGACACATGATCCCAGCTCTGTGTGGGACTTACTTCAATTCCGACAACAGAAAAGACATTTTAATGAGAAACTATAGCACAGTACATGTAATATTAAAATATAACACACAGGAGTTACGCTTAGACGGCTACAGTCTTAATGAATCTTTGAATTCCCACAAGACCTATCGCTCACTTTTCACTCCTTAAATTGGCATGACTGTATGGCCAAGTCATTAAGATGCTATCAATATCATTTATTATTTATTTGCCAAGTCTGTATGAACACACATTTCCAAGTCTTTTAACATCAAACAATATTGATGTTGTGACAATAATACCATTAGCTTTTTATTTGAAATATGCATTCAATGCCAATAGAATCTTAATATGTTAATAGCACCACGTGGAAGTGATCAAACTGTAATTGTACTATAACACTGCTGAATAAAATCAATCTATTTTTCGACCTTACTGTTGACATGAATCTCATGAATAAAACTGTGCAATATCGTCATTATCTGAACGCCTTCACAGACGCATATTCTGGAAAGATGTCTTGAAAAACATGAAGCTGCGTCTAATTTATAGATGAACATAATTTCCTCGATACTCATTAATCAGATGAACCTTCATTTAGTTCAATTCACAAGTGACTATAGAAAATGCATAGATAGTTCTTTTCAATGTCTTCAAGGACGGAAAACATGTATTATACAGTAGAACACGGATATAACGAACTCCAAGGGACCAAGAAATTTAGTTCGCTATATCCGTTGTTCGTTATTCACATTTGACCGCCATCTTCGATTGTAGAGATGTAGACATTCACAGACATTACCTATATCATGTTGATAAATATAAAGTTTATTTTTATAATATATTTGAAATAATACAACTACAACTTAAATAAATTTATGTTTTAATGAAAATGAAAGCTTACATTTATAATGTCCAGATAAACCACGAAAGAAGCAAACACTGTAGCGAGAGTATTTTCACAGTTGTAAAAAGCGATTTTATTGAATAAAGATTGGTTCCTAATGACGCTTTTTCGCCAGTCTGCTATAAGGATCGTGATTGGTCAAAATCAGACATGTGACCTAAGGCAGCCAATCATATTACGGCAATGGATACCGTCCTCGTCAACGAAAACGGTTGTTGAATAGGTTAAACACGATATGTTTGTTTTGTTAATTAACTAATAACCATCAATCAATGTTGATTCACCGCCAACAAGATTGATGTATACTGTACCGCTAAGTGGCTGAGCTGACACTGAGTGAGTTCGCTAATCACGTCGTTAACTGGGTCTTGGGGGTAGTAAATGAGTTCGCTATAGCCGTTAATTCGCTACTCACGAGTTCGTTATTCACGTATAATTTTAATGATATTATTAAGGACTGTTGATGGGACTTTTAAATTTGTTCGCTATATCCGTTTGTACGCTATATCCATGTTCGCTATAACCATGTTCTACTGTATTTCATAAGTGTATTATAGAACGCTGCAACGATTCGGCAGAGAAATACTATTGTGCCATTGTATTACTTAAATAAAATACATCAGTGTTTAACATTAGCATTCAGATATTGTTATAAAATAAGTTTAAAATTCCAGAAATTATCGTGTAAAATGACAAGAGATAGTGTTGTGTTCGCTCTGACAAAAAGGTTTCGATATTCAAATATAACATTTAATCAAAGTGACTACGAAGTAGACCTGCATATCACTCACAACTCACAACGTTTCGTGAAGGCCTGTATTGAGACGCCAATTACATCACATATATTTGATATTCAGTGGAGACAAATGCATCACTGAACTCTAAGGCTGGGACGGGTACTACGGTACACAAATCCGGGTCGGGTACAGCTGGAATTGAGTCCTTTTTCTAGGAATCGGGTACCCGGAAAGGGAGATAGCTCTGTAATGACAAGGGCAGACAATAGCTTGTCTTTTTCATTTTTAACGTAACACACATTTACATCATTGAGTGAGTGAGTGAGTGAGTTTAGTTTTACGCCCCCACTCAGCAATATTCCAGCTATAAGGCGGTGGTCTGTAAATAATCAAGTCTGGATGAGACAATCCAGTGATCAACAACATGAGCATCGATGTGTGCAATTGGGATACGATGACATGTGTCAACCAAGTCAGCGAGTCTGACCACCCTTATCCTGTTAGTCGCCTCTTACGACAAGCATGGGTTACTGAAGATCCATATTCTAACCCAGAAATTCATGGGTTTTTACATCATTGGTATTGTCCGATTAATGGAGCATAGATTTAATGACTGTAATTTATCTGTGCATGTGCAGTGAGTAGTTAAGCTACAGTAGCAGCAGGAACGAAACGTTCGTTGTTATAACGAGGAGTGTAAGTAATAGTGTTACTCTCTATATTGGTTAAACAGACGTAAATTCAATAGCTTGAGGTCAGTTTTAATGTCTTATTACCACTTTTTCAAGTTTTCTATAATAGTCTCTGTCAAATCGTGATTGAATATTCTGAGGTTGACCTGAATGTATTTCTTACATTTCCGGGTACTGATTCGGGTAAGTACATGCGGGTACTCGATTCCATTTTTTCCTACTCGTCCCAGCCCTACTGAATTCCTCATACATTTTAGAATGTAATTACAACTGGTCTTTGTCACCAATACCAAGTGTCTAGATAAACTGAAATGAAAGATATTGGGGGTGGAAACAAATGCTGTGCTCGAAAGACAACACCTGTTTGAAATGTAAACAAAGAAAATTTCGGACTTTATATTGTGTACCATTTTCTCAAATTTTCAGAAACCCATTTGCATGGAAAGAGCATAGAAGCAAGAAATAGGAAATTATAAATAGATACAATACAGGAATGTGATGTGTTTATACGAAACTGTCAATTAAGTTTCTGTGCAGCGTGACGCCATGACTGACGCAAAATCATGCAGAACGACAACGGTAATAATCGGCATTTCTGGACGCTTCTTTTTCTTTCTTGAAATGAAAACGATAAACACATGTAACAATACACAGATAGTCAGAATCATTCTGATTACTTACATCTCATATTTATGTACAAACGATCCCTGAATCAAGGGAAGGGTCCTCGCAAAACCCATGTCAGCCGCCTTTTTTGAAGAAATCTCAACTGTAGTGATGTCATACGTCAACATTGTTGTACATATTTGGCAATTTCTCTGAGGTGAAGGTCGGTAGAATAAGAGTATACACAATCACCACATCCCGCCGATTACACTTTAAGTATCATAATGTAATCATTCGGATTTTTTTTCATGAAACTAATTAATTATCTACATTTAGTCTTGTTCAATATCATATCATACGTGGGTATAGGGTGTACGTGTTTGATTCTTTGAAAGTGTTTGTTTGAATAATATTTACAGAAGAAATTCACACATTTAGTGTAGTAAAACATATATAAACCTTTACACAAGTGTTAAAAGATGAAACGTAGGCATCATGTTCTTGTACAACATGTATTTTAGTTCCTATGAAGTGCATAGTTACAGTTTCGTATGTAACTCTTCGTCAGAATAATTTCCAGTATCAAAGTCCAGTCCACGATACACCCTATCCTTTCTTTGCTGAACTGGCCTCATGAAAGCAGTGTTAGCCATGAACGCCATTTGCGAGTTAACAACACTGTTAAAAAGTTAGCGGCGGTCCTTAGGTGTGTTAACTTAACGTCTCGTTAACAACCTGTTTAAAGTTAACAGAGTTTTGAACAACAAGATAACCCTCTGTTATTAGTTAACGGTCGGTTAAATGTACTTAACGGCAGGTTAAAAGATAACCGAGTTTTGAACAACCGGGCCCAGGAAGTTTATGATCATGATATATTAGACGGAGGAAGGTGCATCATGTTACATTGAATGAGAAATTTGCAAATGCAGTTTGCACATTTTCTGTATGAAACAAAAAACAAGAGAGAACCATGTTATACTTATCTGCATTAACAACCTGAAGTGAAAGATCTGAAAAATGATATTAACCAATTTTCTTTCGGTGATTGAGCATTGGTAAGGAACCAATCATCAATTGTTCCTTTTCAACCAATTCCCATCACTAATCTCAAGAAAGGTTTACACTATTCAACACATACGTGAAGCATTTCAATAATATTAATAATTGATCTTACAGAAAACATTTTTTTTTGCAGCAAACCAAATTCTGTGAAACAGAAAAATGCTTTCCCTCCAAACTTCATCCACTCACTGGATTCCTCGCACATGATGCTGACATCCCTGTACTGTTTGAGGTAGGTGAAATGTACTCACAGTCATACAGGTGTCCCCTGTGGTGAACCCGTTGAGTGTAACACGGTCATACAGGTGTCCCCTCTGGTGAACCCATTGAGAGTATACAGTCATACAGGTGTCCTCTGTGGTTAACCTATATATAGTATGTAAAGTCATACAGGTGTCTCTGTGGTGAACCCATAGAGAGTATACACAGTCATACAGGTGTCCCCTGTGGTGAACCCATAGAGAGTATACACAGTCATACAGGTGTCCCCCGTGGTTGACCCATAGAGCGTAGGCAGAGTCATACATGTGTCCCCTGTGGAAAACCCATGGAGAGTCTACACAGTCATACAGGTGTCCCCTGTGGTGAACCCATAGAGAGTATACACAGTCATACAGGTGTCCCCTGTGGTTGACCCATAGAGAGTATGCAGAGTCATACATGGGTCCCCTGTGGTGAACCCATAGAGAGTGTACACAGTCATACAGGTGTCCCCCGTGGTTGACCCATAGAGAGTATGTAAAGTCATACATGTGTCCCCTGTGGAAAACCCATTTAGAGTATACACTGTGTCCCCTGTGGTTGACCCATAGAGAGTATACAGAGTCATACATGGGTCCCCTGTGGTGAACCCATAGAGAGTATACACAGTCATACAGGTGTCCTCTGTGGTTAACCTATATAGAGTATGTAAAGTCATAGAGGTGTCTCTGTGGTGAACACATAGAGAGTATACACAGTCATACAGGTGTCCCCTGTGGTGAACCCATAGAGAGTATACACAGTCATACAGGTGTCCCCCGTGGTTGACCCATAGAGTGTATGCAGAGTCAAACATGTGTCCCCTGTGGAAAACCCATAGAGAGTATCCACTGTCATACAGGTGTCCCCTGTGGTTGACCCATAGAGAGTATGCAGAGTCATACAGGTGTCCCCTGTGGTGAACCCATAGAGTTTACACATTCACACAGGTGTCCCCTGTGGTGAACCCACAGTCATACAGGTGTCCCCTGTGGTGAACCCACAGTCATACATGTGTCCCCTGTGGTGAACCCATAGAGAGTATACACAGTCACACAGGTGTCCCATGTGGTGAACCCGTTGAGAGTATACACAGAGTTTCCGGTCCCCCCCCCCCCCACTTGTGAACCCGTTGAGAGTATACACAGTCCCCTGTGATGAACCCACAGTCATACAGGTGTCCCCTGTGGTGAACCCACAGTCATACATGTGTCCCCTGTGGTGAACCCATAGATAGTATACACAGTCATACAGGTGTCCTCAGTCGTGGACCCATAGAGAGTATACACAGTCAAACAGGTGTCCCCAGTTGTGGACCCATAGAGAGTATACTCGGTCATACAAGTGTCATCTGTGGTGAACCCATATAGAGTATACACAGTCTATACCCATACCCATGGAGAGTATACACAGTCATTCAGGTGTCCTAGTGGTGAACCCATGGAGAGTATACACCGTCGAACAGGTGTCCCTGTGATGAATGCATAGAAAGTATACACAGTCATGCAGGTGTCCCTGTGGTTAACCCATGGGGAGTATACACAGTCATACAGGTGTCCCTGTGGTGAATGCATAGAAAGTATACACAGTCATGCAGGTGTCCCTGTGGTGAACGCATAGAGAGTTTACACAGTCATACAGGTGTCCCTGTGGTGAACGCATAGTCAGCAGGTGTCCCCTGTGGTTAGATAGTATAGTGATAAATAGTCATGCAGGTGTCCCCCCATAGATAGTCATGCAGGTGTCCCCTGTGGTTAACGCGTAGAGTGTATATATAGTCATACAGGTGTCCCTGTGGTGAACCCATAGAGAGTTTACACAGTCATACATGTATCCCCCGTGGTGAACCAATAGAGAGTATACACAGTCATGTAGGTGTTCCTGTGTTGAACACATAGAGAGTATAGACAGTCATTCCGGTGTCCCTGTGGTGAACCAATAGAGAGTATACACAGTCATTCCGGGGCCCCCTCTGGTGAACCCATAAGGAGTATACAGAGTCATACAGGTGTCCCCCGTGGTTGACCCATAGAGAGTATACACAGTCATACAGGTGTCCCCCATGGTTGACCCATAGAGGGTATGCAGAGTCATACAGGTGTCCCCCGTGGTTTACCCATAGAGAGTGTACACAGTCATACAGGTGTCCCCCATGGTTTACCCATAGAGAGTGTACACAGTCATACAGGTGTCCCCCATGGTTTACCCATAGAGAGTGTACACAGTCATACAGGTGTCCCCCATGGTTTACCCATAGAGAGTATACACAGTCATACAGGTGTCCCCCGTGGTTTACCCATAGAGAGTGTACACAGTCATACAGGTGTCCCTTGTGGTGAACCCATAGAGAGTATACACAGTCATACAGGTGTCCTCTGTGGTGAACCCATAGAGAGTGTACACAGTCATACATGGGTCCCCTGTGGTGAACCCATTTAGAATATACACAGTCATACAGGTGTCCCCCGTGGTTGACCCAATAGAGAGTATACACAGTCATACAGGTGTCCCCCGTGGTTTACCCATAGAGAGTGTACACAGTCATACAGGTGTCCCCTGTGGTGAACCCATAGAGAGTATACACAGTCATACAGGTGTCCTCTGTGGTGAACCCATAGAGAGTGTACACAGTCATACATGGGTCCCCTGTGGTGAACCCATAGAGAGTGTACACAGTCATACATGGGTCCCCTGTGGTGAACCCATTTAGAATATACACAGTCATACAGGTGTCCCCCGTGGTTGACCCAATAGAGAGTATACACAGTCATACAGGTGTCCCCCGTGGTTTACCCATAGAGAGTGTACACAGTCATACAGGTGTCTCCCGTGGTTTACCCATAGAGTGTCTACACAGTCATACAGGTGTCCCCTGTTGTTTACCCATAGAGAGTGTATATATCATAATATGAGTGATGTCTATGGGTGTATTTGTGTGTACTAGCCCCCTTAAACGTGCAGTGCAGTATAGAAAGTAATATTGCTTCTAAAGCAAATACAGTAAAGTAAAATGCATTACGTTTGTATGGATAGAAATAGTATGTTGGTTTATGCTGAGTCAAAAACATATCTTGGCGATGTGATACACCTTATATTCCCGTCAAAACGAGGACAATTCATATCTTATACAGTACGCCAAGGGTGTACCAGGTTATAAGATAGTGTTATACCTATATTTCCGTTGACTATTTTAAAAGGAAATCATTGATAATTTTGTACGTTTGGTTAGTCATTGGTCCATGAAACTATTATAGAAATTTATATTATACTGGTTTATTAAATTTGTATAGAAGTCATTAATACCCTCAGGAAAACAATAACTTGTTACCTCGTTTAGTTATATAATAGACTGTCATATTATTATATACCATATCTACTTTTGACAGAAACCAAAGTTTTCCCCCTACTTCTCTTGTACTAGTGTAGAAGAGACATGTTACCCCTCAACTCTTGTAACATGTATAATAGTATAAGTTGTAAAAGACTATTGACTGTACTTCAATGAGAAATATGTTTTACTATTCTATAACACTTAAGCTTGATTACTGTCCAAAAGTAAGAACAATTGTATGTTGGTTTACACTGAGCTAAAAACATATGTGGGTGAAGAAATACAACCCTTGTCCTTGCCAAAATGAGGATAGTCTAGTATTTATGTTTTACGTTAAGTGAATTTTGGTATGTTTTAGTATTCTCGATAAGGATTGGTCAAATTGGTCTTTACACACAAGCGTGTACTATGTTAAAAGAAAATCATTGACATTTATGTATATTTGGTTATTCATTGATCCAAGAAACTACTATGGAAATCATTCGCTTCATTTTTTACAAAAATATGCTTATTAATTTGTAATATTTAAGCTCGATTATTGTCCAAAAGTATGGACAACTGCTGGCATGTGAGAAAATGCCAATTTTGATGACGTAAAGCAATTGTTATTGCGGTTGTCAAAATGAATCTTTATTCCCCATGGGAATACGATTTATTCATTTAAACCTATCTGGTATATTGTTTGTTCTCATTGATACAGAGGAAAATCATTGAAAAGAATTGTACCCTCAGGGTAAACATTTTAAACTGCCACTTCTTTATGTCATTCAAAGTAGCTGCCATATTAAGTATTTAATATTTGATTCCACTAAAAATGTATTTAACTGCCATGGTACCACAATTGGTATAGAAATATTATATAATAGTAATTATTATGCCTTTCACATTCAACAACTTATACTGAGAAATATAATTGTGGGCGTTATAATTGAAATAAACAAAAATTACATATGTAATTGTTAGTAATTATAAATAATAGGTACCATGGATTATATTTGATACTGTCACATGGCCTGGGCCCTTTGTAGAAATGCGATATGCACGATATTGTGGAACTGAAGAAAAAATGTTCCATAAAGCTATGCTACCGTTAATACCAGTAATATCACATAACCAGAGCCCAAACTAAAGTGGATTCATAAAAAGATGAAAACAAACTATAAGTGAACGGACGGAAAAGGCTGTAAGATTTATATTATGCTTTATCAGCATTACAGGACGGAAGTCGGAAATGTACACATATATATATTGTTTACTGTTGTATCTTTTGTTCACTTTTGTTGTACCAAAAAAATTCCCAAATGTATGTTTGTTGCTATAGATGCTTTATTAACTCATCCCAAGAACTTGCAAGGTCATCCAAACCATCTCCTTCCACTGCAAATCATTGTAGATAAATAATGAAACAAAGTGTAAATAAGGAAAATCTAAAAGTTTTATCTCTCAACTGCAGAGGTCTCAATAATGCTTTTAAAAGAAAACAGGTATTCAGGTTCTTATGGCTAAAAAAGGCTAACATATTCTGTCTTCAAGACGTTCACTTCACTACTGAGCAAGAACAGCTCATTAAACAGCAATGGGGATAAGCGAATGTTATTTTAGCCATTTTGGAAGCAGTGCAAGGGGAACAGCTATTCTTTTTAATAACAATTTTGAATTTA